ATCTTAATTGTCATTCAACCATATTTTTACAGGTCAAGATGTAGTGTTTCAGTGCCTTGGGGAGAGCCTTTTGCACAATGCTTTTCAGGGTTACAACGCCTGTATCTTTGCTTATGGGCAGACTGGTGAGTAATATTTTGTACACAGTAACCTTTGCTCATATTTTCAAAGCACTCTGAACTAGGACTGTGTGATTAATCATTATTGATTTTCTATTTCTATTTTGTCTTCCAACGATTATGAAAACAAGACAAAACTAGGTGTGCTTTCTATCCTCTAAGCCAAACTTAATATCCGAATCATCTGAATAAGTGTTGCTAAACTGCAGGACTTTCCTGATATTAAAAGCAAATTAAGCCTCGAAACATACTGTTTCCCAGGCGGCTTTCTGTGCGTGCGTATACTGTGGGCTTCAGATTGGCTTTTGATTATTGTATTGCTAAATCTGAATGTTTACTTTTTTATATATTCGAGTAATTATTATTTATATCAAGTAGCATGAGATAATTTCTTGTCTGCTGTGATGTTATTTCCATCAGGCTCTGGAAAGTCATACACCATGATGGGTTCGGTGGACCAGCCTGGTTTGATCCCCAGACTCTGCAGTTCTCTGTTTGACCGGACCATACAACACCAGCGAGAGGAAGAGAGCTTCACCGTAGAAGTCTCTTTTATGGAAATCTACAACGAGAAAGTTCGGGACCTTTTGGACCCCAAAGGGTGAAGCCTATTGTGTCTTATGTTCAGTATCTCAGCTCTACTCTGCTGTTAATGTCGATCTTACACAATATCCGTTTGCTTTGTTTCCCACAGGAGTCGACATGCCTTGAGAGTGAGAGAACATAAAGTTTTGGGGCCTTATGTTGATGGTCTGTCCAGACTTGCGGTTGAAAGTTACAAGGTAACAAAATCTTTTTTTTTTTTTTTTTTGATGGGAGAATGGCATGCCCTTCGCACAATAATTAACCTTTTACCTCCTTTTTTTAACAATACTTTCTGTCGTTCGGTTAGTCATGTGGTTAATTTATCCCCTCTTTGGGTCTGTAGTTGATGCTGAGCAAATCCTGCTTTAGGAATGTTTGTAGTTAGCTCATGAGATTGCATGTGTCACTGCTGAAGTATTTGGTATTATGGAAATCAAAAGCCTGTACAGAATTTACAGAACATTTCCACAGATTTTTGCAGAATTTGATGAATGTTGTTGGGTTTTTTTTGTCGTTCAAAATATTTTTTTGCATATCCTTTACCTGTTTATTTATTAATTATGCTGAAGTATATTGGATTTAATTGAATAAAAAGTGTTAAATATTATGGATTATCATATTCTTCCAAACCTAAATCCATTCTGTAGATTGCAGTGTGGTAGTCATTTCAAAACCTAAAAACCGGTTACTTTGCAGTAACCATATTTCATTAGCATTGTGCATGCCTATTTCTTGGCTGGATTCAGGACATCTTTACTGCTTTTCTTTTGTTTTCTTTTTTTTTTTTTTCTTTGAACAAAAAATAATTGTGTACATTAGTGTGCAGTTGTTCTGACCTTTAAATACATTTGAGACTATAATCATGTTCCTTTTCCAACTCAAAGGACATAGAGTCCTTGATGTCTGAGGGGAATAAATCCCGCACTGTGGCGGCCACCAATATGAATGAGGAGAGCAGTCGCTCCCATGCGGTTTTCAATATCATCCTCACGCACACGCTGAAGGACCTGCATTCAGGGGTAAGAACACACTTAAACACACTGTTCGGAAGCTCAAAACTGATTTACATAGATTCAGATTTAGATACAAGATAAGACAAGTGGAAAATCACTTAAATGGGTCAAACTCTACATTTCAAGTCCACTTGTAATGTTAGTCAGTGTTTTTTTGCACTATAAAACTCATAATCATGATACTTTGCCCCATCAGCTTTTGCTGTTGTACACTTTTAGACTTTTGCATGTAAATTTACCTTTATGATTGGCTTTGCATACCAGCATAGTTTGTTTATCAGGCTGGTTCAAGTTTCTGAATAATGAATAAACATTAATATGTAAATGTGGGTGGTTAAATATTAATATATTCATAACTTTACAGTCATGATCTCTGATTTACATGTTTTGTGGCTCCTTGGTCTGGGTGGCCTGGGGTTGGGAGCATTGTTGTTGCATGCGTCAGAGTCTATCCTCTTAACTCTCTTATTTTAAGAGCAAGGAAAACCATGTTTTCCCTGATACGTTCCTCTTTAATTGTCTTATTTAATTTCTAAATAGTTTTGTTTCTGCTGATAAAACCCAGATCATGAATGTTCTTGCTAGGTCCTCATGAAATAAAGCCAAGTACTGCAGGAAGGGAAAGGTTGAGAGATGAGTCATTGTGTCCAGCCCTGATGATCTCATAGATGGATGTATTTGAATACCCTTTATCAGCTGATGAGGACCTGTGTTGGCACAGTCCAGTGCTCAGTCTAAAATTTTCCTTTTTAGATTTTTGACACCACCCTTGTTTTTCTTCCGTTCACTTAAATAATTAAAGTTTTTTTTACTATTTATAATGTTGCGTAATTTGTTTAATTGATTCAGATTTAAAGATCTAGCGTATAGGTAAGTGAATTGTGTGAATTTTTTTCCATTTAGTGCACTCTGTCCCATGGTAACCTTCTCTTTTCGGGTTTATCGTGAGCATGGGAAGAGCTCATGCAAATAGCAGGAAAATTGATGAATAAATTATAGAGTGTTCGAGTTTAGACGTCAACTGATCTCCTCTGGCGCTGTCCTGGTGTCACTGCAGTTTTCCTTTGTGGCGTATGTCATGATCACCTGACTCGACTCGTGTCCAGTCCCTAATCTTTAATTCATTACAGCCTGGACCGCGTTGGTCACTCAACAGGTGCATACAATACTACAGCAGAGATCTAAACTTAGCATGTTTTCACTAAAACAGAGCAATGATAAAGTATTAGCCTGCATGTACACGCACGCTCGCACACACACACACACACCAGGCCCAGCCCATATGAATGTGGTGTTTGTCAGCTCAGCCATCGATAAGTAATGATGTGTGTATTTTTCCAGCGCAGTCATCAGTGTTGCCTTTTGCACACTGTGGTTTCCCATGCAAACAGGTCTGTGGGTCTGCTGGAGAAGGAAGGGCAATGGATTACCTCTGATTTCCATGTTCTTTTGTTTAAAATATGTTTGAAACATATAATGAAAAAAAAAAGTTTGCATTGTCTTTGCTTGGCCATGCAAACTCTCCACTATCCAATGCTAGGAGTTCTTCCATTGTGTTGCTATGCAGTTGCTAAGGTATTCTGAGGGGTTAGTGCGTAGTTATGCGTTTGCTGAGTTTTCCTGCTTGATTGTCAGGGTGTTTCTATGCAGTTGCTAATGTATTCTAAGGGGTTAATGTGTTGCTAGCAATGTTGTCTGGGTGTTGCTATGAGTTTGGGAAGGTGTTCTGAGTGGTAATGTGTTTTACCGTCTTGCTAGTATGTTACCAGAATGTTCTGAATGGTGGTTGTGGGTTTGATATACAGTAGGTGTTCTAAAAAGTATAGTAAGGTATCCTGGGGGGTTGTTAGGGTGCTGCCATGTAGTTACTAAGGTGTTCTGATGGGTTATGCATGGCTATGTGGTTACTAGGCCATGAGTGCTTATTAGGGGATTGCTTTGAAGTTGCTATGATGTTTAGAGGGGTTAATACATAGCTATATGATTGCTAGAATGTCCTGTGTGGTTGTCGGGGTGTTGCTATGTAGTTTCTTAGAAGTTCTGAGCGGTTAAGTAGATAGATACATGGCGGCTTAGATGTTCTGGGTTATTGTCAGTGTTGCTCTGAAGTCTCTGAGATGTTCTGAGTGGTAAATTTATAGCTACTCAGTTTCTAGGGTGTTCTGGGTGGTTGTCGGTGTTGCCCTGTAGTTTCTATTCTAAGTGGTTTATTCATAGCTGTACAGTTGCTAAGGTATTCTGGGTGGTTGTCAGGGTGCTGCTATGCTGTTTTTAAGGTGTTCTTAGGGGCAAATGCATAGCTATATGGTTGCTAGAGTGTCCTGGGTGGTTGTCGGGGTGTTGCAATGTAGTTTCTTAGATGTTCTGAGTGGTTAAGTAGATACATGGCGGCTTAGATGTTCTGGGTTATTGTCAGTGTTGCTCTGTAGTCTCTGAGATGTTCAGAGTGGTAAATTCATAGCTACACAGTTTCTAGGGTGTTCTGGGTGGTTGTCAGTGTTGCCCTGTACTTTCTATTCTGAGTGGTTTATTCATAGCTATACAGTTGCTAAGGAATTCTGACGGGTTGTCAGGGTGCTGCTATGCTGTTTTTAAGGTGTTCTTGGGGGCAAATGCATAATATGGTTGCTAGGGTGTTCTGGGTGGTTGTCATGGTGTTGCCATGCAAGTGCTAAGGTGTTCTGAAGAGTCAACTTTGAGAGGTCATTCACATAAAGTGTTAAAGTTACTGTAGCAAGAACGTCCTGTTAATTCTAAAGGTCAGCAAGAAGGTGGAAATGGGTCATTAAAAAGTAACTTTTTACGGGGGGGAAAAATAAAATGCTACACCGGTACAGAATATGCCTGCTAGTTGATTAAAGATTAACGAATGAACTCTGGCTCTATATGATCTGTATTCTCAGCCAATGCGCATTCGGAGCCTGAAACTTTTGCAACACAAGGACTCTTTGTTGTTGTAATGCACTATAATCTCGGTCCAGCTCCCCCCCCTCAACTTCCCATATCCTCTCGCCTCTTTGTGTCTCCTCTCAATTAAACCTCATCTCTGATGCTCAAACAGGGGGATTGTGTACAGTAAGGTCTGATGCTGGGCCGTATAAAGGAACTCCACCCCACATACTGGTCCAATGCTGTGCAATACAGAGGAGAACAATGGATGCTTGTCCATGGCCTGCCATAGCCTCTCTTGCCATTGTTCCTTCTTAATATAGGACAGCTCACCAGAATTTGTCCAGCATGGTCATTCATACACAAATTTAACGTTTGAAGCCATTTCCCTGGATTTCTAAGGAGGACAAGCACAGAGAGGCTTGACAACCATGGAAATGTTCAGTAGTGAGGGATTATTAGGTTGCTTTTTCCTTTTATTATTATTTCCCGCCACAGTTAGTTTGCTATTTTCTTTCCAGAATAACTAGGAGGTAGGCGCCATTCATGGAAAGAGACGCGTAATGAGGTCATGTGATATACTATTATAAAATAGTAGGTGGTGTATACTCTGCTGTAAGAAGTATGCTTGCTAGTATTACATTTTGATCAGTATTTCTCTTTTTTTTTGTACTCTCTCTCTTACTACAGACAAGTGGGGAAAAGGTGAGTAAGCTGAGTTTGGTGGACCTGGCAGGAAGTGAGAGAGCTGCAAAGACGGGCGCTGCAGGCGAGCGGCTCAAGGAAGGCAGCAACATCAACAAGTGTGTGCACTCTTGTTTCATTCTGCATGATTACTTTGTCTTTTTTTATTTACTCTGTTTTGTCTTGGTACTTTTTTGCTCCAACCTACAGAAGGTTTGCATGAATCTTACAGAAGCTGTCAAGAACAAGGTCTTATTGAATTCTGAAAAATAACTTTTTTTTTTAACTTGAATATATTGAAACCTAAAAAGGAAGCATAAAACAAACATTTAAGCTTTTCTGCATTAGGACATAATTTTTAGGAAAACGTTTTGAATTATTTTATAGTATATATAATATTATTATTATTAATTATTATATTATTCATTGTACAATAATTATTCATATTAAATTAATCAATTATTATATATATATATATACAATTAATCAATTTATATGTGACATGTTAGTGTGACAGATCCTTTCCCCAATGTGACAGATCCTTTCCCTTAAGTATGTGAATATCTGAGTCACTCAAGAATATTTTCCTATGGCACTGAATTGAGGCGTTTCCTTTTCTGTTGAATGGGTGCTTTGAATTTTAAAGGGCACATATCATGGAAAATAACTCTTGAAATACATCTGATCTTTTATGTAGACATACTCTTCGTTTACAGTGTGAAACTTCTCTCTAATGCTGTGTCTGGACATTTTAGTCACCTAAGAATGTATTTTGCAACATTGATTTGTGGTGTTCTTTTTTTTTTTCTGTGGCTGAGAGAGAGGAGTTTTATACTGTGGAGAATCAGTCTTGTTAAAATGGCCAAATCTAAGGGCACCGTTTGTTCTGAGGAGGGTTTTATAGATCTAGTGAAGGATTTTTGGCCTGCAGGTGCATATTTCTCTGTGTTCTGTGTCTCGGTCTGTTTCTCTCTCACTTATTTTTTTCCCATTTCTATCTTTCCTCTCCACACTGGACAGGTCTTTAACCACTCTGGGTTTGGTGATCTCAGCTCTGGCAGACCAGGGTGCTGGAAAGAACAAGAACAAGTTTGTGCCCTACAGAGATTCAGTGCTGACATGGCTGCTCAAGGTATGAACACTCATTCTGTCCGGTAAACACTGGGAGAGAGAATTTCCACGGATTTTTTTTCTTTCTTTTTCCAGTCCACTGCCACACACACTTAAATGTATAATGTCTGTCCTTCTGATGTAACCACAGGACAGTCTGGGTGGAAACAGTCGAACTGCCATGGTTGCCACCGTGAGCCCTGCGGCCGATAATTACGATGAGACGCTGTCAACGTTACGCTATGCGGACCGAGCAAAGAGCATCGTCAACCACGCCGTGGTCAACGAAGACCCTAACGCCAGGATCATCCGGGAACTCCGAGAGGAGGTGGAGAAACTGCGAGATCAGCTGACGCAGGCTGAGGTAGACTCGTTTTCTTAGTGTTTTTTTGCAAAAGGTCAAAAACATTGTTTTAGGAACCTGTCATGTTCTTCCTTAGTCTATGAAGGCACCAGAGCTGAAGGATAGACTGGAGGAGTCTGAAAAATTGATACAGGAGATGACTGTCACCTGGGAAGAGAAGCTGAGGAAGACTGAGGAAATTGCTCAAGTAACCGCCTCAATAATTTGCACTGTTTTGTCTGCATCGTAATTTTGTTTATGTCTGGTTACTCTGTAGTTCAAGTGCCATAACACCATCAATCAAACACAGAAGTGGATACTCATGTTCTTCACGCTTTGTGATTTTGTTCTGCATAGGAAAGACAAAAACAGCTGGAAAGCCTTGGCATCTCTCTTCAATCTTCTGGTATAAAGGTTGGAGAAGACAAGTGCTTCCTGGTCAATCTCAATGCTGACCCTGCCCTTAATGAACTACTGGTTTATTATCTAAAGGTAATGCACAACTAAAAAAATTTTTGTAAGATACTAGAAATGTTTCTGATGTGAGTTTTGTATATTGGCAGACTTTTCTTTTATTTAAATATAATATATTATATATTATATATAATAAATATAATATATAAAAATATATTTTATATATAAATATAATATATAAAAATATATAATATATATAAAGTTTTGAGTCAGTAATATTGCTTTTATACTTAACATTTTTCAGCAAAGATGCGTTCAATTGATCGAAAGTGACAGTGAAGACTTGCTTTTAATTTGTAAAAAAAAAAAAAAAAAAATTCAAAGAATCCTAGTTTTCAGCAAAAAACAATTTAGCACTAAATACCATACCAGAAGGATAATTCAGCCTTGCAAACCCAGGAAACAAATTACATTTTAAAATATATGAAAATATTTTTTAATAAATAATAATAATTAAAGTTTTTCAATCAGGCTCCCTGAAATCCTTGAAAATGTGTGAATCTGAAAAAAAAAAAAAAAAAAAAAAAAATCAAGGCCCTGGAAGGTTTTTGAAAACAAACATAGATACAGGTCCTTGAAAGTGCTTGAATTCATTTTGTGCAAGATTTTTTTCTGGACAAAAATTCCATATTATTTCCTCCGGTCCGCTAATGCCAACACTTTATGGCCTAAGCATACTAGCTTGCTTGATTTACATTAGTTATGTGCATTTACACGTTACGTCAAGTGTTTCCCACGTGAGATACTTTGTGTTGTACATTGCCATGACGTTCATATGTGCACAAAACTTCTACGATGGTACATCAACATTTTACAGACACACCGTCAAACATTGCAAAAATAGGCTGAAACGATGTAACCTTACTCTCTCTTGAAATGTGTCCCCACATTAGCCGCTTTCCGACCAAGTAGTTACAGGAACTTAGTTATAGGAACTATCCATTTCTAAACAGTTCTTCTAAGAACAACTCTCCCCCAAACTCGGTTTTGCTGCCTACGTTCGCACTGGCCAAGTGGCGATAGGAACTGGTAGGAGGGGTAAGGGAGTGACGCAAGCACAGCGACGGTCTTTATAGCGTCATCACTAGACGTAGCGCGGACACGTACAACAACAACAAAGCATGGAGGAGGCTATTGCGATCTGGAAAGTCCTTGAATCTGAAGTTTACCCAGGTGTGGGAAATGAACTGTTAAAAAAAACCTTTTTTTTAACTTATGTATGGTGGTATAATTATTATAATAATAATACATTATTATTACTATTATTATCATATCAGAAACAACAATAATGTATACTGGCTTTTTGCTTCCTAATGTAATTTACATCATGATATAATAATATAATGTATCTGGAGCCTGTCTTGGTATTTGGTGCTTGAACTAGGCATCCGTTAAGTTTTGGTCTGTGTGTGGTAGTAACAGCATTTGATGCTGGGATATTTTGCAGGAACACACTAAGGTTGGATCAGCAGATTCCCAGGACATCCAGCTGTGTGGAATGGGCATCCAAGCAGAGCATTGTGTCATTAACATCACACCTGAGGGAGCTGTCTTTCTCAACCCCTACAGAAACTCAAGGTAATGCATTGAGTGTTTTATTTGCTGAGATATCTAAACCAAAAGGTCATGTGTTCAAAGCCCAGTTCGGTCCATGAACTGGAGAGTGTATAACCAAAGGCTATCTTTTCCCTGTGCATGCACACTACATTTATGCATTTGACGGGTGGTTTCATCCAAAACGATAAGTTTATAATATAAGTTAAAGAATAAAAAAAAGAGTGAAGAAATACAAGCAAATGTTAAATCTTAAGTTATATGAAATAATCTACTGTTGCCTCTGTTGCAGAACATGTGTGAACGGATCTCCAGTCACCAGCCGGCAACAGCTTCACCATGGTGACCGTATTTTTTGGGGAAACAATCACTTTTTCAGGTCAGTGTTATTAACCCAGACTGAAGAATGTCACCCTGTGGCTTTCTGTATTTGTACACGACTGCATTATGGTTATCTTCTTTTATGAAGACTTTTTATATATTTGTGTTTTTGTTCAGAATAAACCTACCGAAGCGGCGCTTAAGGAGTGAGGAAGAGGAGGGTGAAGGAGGGAGCATGAAGAACAGTAACAGCAGTGAGCAGCTGGACGGAGAGGGAGATACTGCCAGCGAGGTGTCCAGTGAGGTCAGCTTCAGCTACGAGTTTGCTCAGACTGAAGTCATGATGAAGGCTTTGGGCAGCAACGGTGAGTTTGATCCATTAAGCTATTTTATAAACAAATGCGTATGAAATATGACTTCATTTAAAATATATTGTCTACACAACAATTCAAAAGTTTGGGGTCTGTAAGATTTGTTAATGTTTTTGAAAGAAGTCTCCAAGGCTGGATTTATTTGATAGTAATATTGATAGAATTTATTGTATTGTAGAATGTTGAGGAATGATTACAATTTAAACTAACTGTTTAAATACTATATATATATATATATATATATATGTGTGTGTGTGTGTGTGTGTGTGTGTGTGTGTGTGTGTGTGTGTGTGTATATATATATATATATATATATATAAATATATGTGTGTGTGTGTGTGTGTGTGTGTGTGTGTGTGTGTGTGTGTGTGTGTATATATATATATATATATATATATATATATAATTTCTCCCAGTCTTCAGTGTCACATGATCCTTCAGAAATCATTGTAATTTGCTACTATAATAATACTTGATATTTTTGTGGACATGTGATGTGTGAAAGTCAAAAGTACAGCATTTATTTGAAATGGTAAATACATTTACATGATATTACAAAATACAAATTACAGTTAGTAATATTACAAAATATTTCTGTCAATTTTGATTTAATGCATCCTTGCTGAATAAAAATATTAATTTCTTTAAAAAAAAAGTGAAGAGTAGTGTAGCTCAAAAACATATTGCTGCTATTGAAAATATGGACACTCTACATTTAAGGGAGGCATTTTGCTCATTTTACATGTCAATAAAAAACCATCGCACACCGATAATAGGTGCGTAGGAAAAATAACCAAAAGAGATCGGTCGACAATCTGCAAATGAGAAACTCCCTCACTTTCAGAACTTGCATTTAAAAATTAGTTATTAGCAACATTTCGGTCTCACGACGGTATACAAATTTTCAAACTCATCCCATTTAACACCAAGCACATGACCACTAAACAAGGCAACACCTGTAACCACTTCGACTAATTGTGGACACATAATTACCACCACATTATCATCATCATTGTATATCATCACAACAATCATTGAAAACAACAACAAAAGAAAAGGAAAAGAAAAACAGTTAAAGCAATACAATTTATAGCATCACATTAACCAATGGTCATTCATTCCTCACTCATTTTACATTGTGAAAAGGTTAGCCAATCAAAACCAAGGTAATTTACATAAAGTCTTAAAGGTACAGTAGCAAAAACTTTCCAAAATGGTGTAAAACATTACTGTTTTTGTCATCCAACAGACCCAATGCAGGCTGTTTTACAATCTCTGGAGCGTCAACACGAAGAGGAAAAAAAGACCGCTCTGGAGCGTCAGCGGCTGATGTATGAGCAGGAGCTGCAGCAGCTGCGCAGACAGCTGACTCCAGACAGGCAGAGCATGCAAATACCGCAGTCGCAGCCCTTGCAGCCGCACTACCGCAGCTTGGAGAGACTGAGCCAGGGAGGAATGTCATCATCACCCAACGCCCAGCACCGCCTGCGCCAGTGGAGTGAGGAGAGGTGAGCTTTATATTTTTGGTGAAAACAAATGTTTTGCCCTCCCAAGGAGAAATTTGTTATACGGTGAGTTTGTTGTAACGCTCGTCTTGTGATGATGCTAGGGAGGTGGTGCTGACACGGAGCTTGCGGAAACTGAGGGAGCAGATCGTACGGGCTAATCTGCTAGTGCAGGAGGCGAGCTTCATCGCCGAAGAGCTGGACAAAAGAACTGAGTACAGAGTTACTCTACAGATCCCTGCTGCAAACCTCAATGCCAACAGGAAGGTCAGGAACCTTTTGCAGGAGCACACTGGAGAAACGTAGCATGGATGGTGCGGTCAGTTGAATTTTTTTTGTTTGTGTATGTAGCGCGATGCTGTCCTGAGTGAACCTGCCATTCAAGTGAGGAGGAAAGGCAAAGGGAAGCAAATCTGGGCCCTTGAGAAGATGGAAAACCGGCTGGTGGATATGAGAGACCTTTACCAAGAGTGGAAGGACTTTGACGAGGACAACCCCGTATGCTCTTTTTCATCACCATAAAAGGTCCCTTAAAAATGAAAAGGTGACACTATAGATGCGGTTCTGCTCTCTATTTCATAGGTGATGCGCTCGTACTTCAAGAGAGCCGACCCTTTCTTCGACGAGCAGGTGAACCACAGTTTAATCGGGGTGGCCAACGTTTTCCTCTCCTGCCTGTTCTATGACGTAAAGCTACAATATGCAGTTCCCATCATCAATCAGAAAGGAGAGGTGAGGATGATGCGTTCAGATCTGCCAGCAAATATGATCAGTGGTTTGTCTCTGTGAATATTTCGTGATAACGTACTCGTTTCATTTCTGAAGGAAAAGTGGGATGTAAATTAAATCAAGTGCAAATTGATCTGTGAAATTGAATCTAATCTAGTCATCAAATCAAGCATGAGACACAGTTCATCTCGAGGGGACCGCTGAAGTGTTGTGTTCACTTGTTGCTGGTGTTAGGTTGCCGGGCGACTGCATGTGGAGGTAATGAGGATGGGCGGAGGGTTTGATGATGGTGTAGCTGGAGGAGATGACAGTGATGGAAGCCCGGATGGAGATGTACAGGAACGCAAGCTGGTCTGTATGGTGAGTACTGAAGTGCACAATAGAAGCAGACTTTGTGTTTAAGGTTTAATTTTTTTTAAGTAAATAATAATAATAATATACACACACTATAATAGTGTATTATTACACTACATTAAAAATGAATAAACATTTGTTGGTTACACTTAATTTTATTGTGTCTCTGTAATAAATTATACATTAAAGTACTGAGTAATAGTAGAGTACAGTACCTACTATATGGTTAGGGTAGGATTTTTTAGGAGTTTGGTTTAGGGTTAATTGCATTTTATAGTTATTACTATAGTAAATGCATGTAATGTGTAACAAGGACACAATAGTGTTACCTGATTTTTGAAGGAGTCTCTTATGCTCACCAAGGCTGCATTTATTTGATAAATACAGTGAAAACAGTAATAATGTGAAATAATATTAGGTTACATTTTTTTTGAATACATTATAAAATGTAATTTATTGCTGTGATGGCAAAGCTAAATTTTCAGCATTGTTACTCCAGTCTTGATCCAGTCACACGGTCTTGATCATGATCTATTTGATATAAAAATCATTTGCAACCTTAAAAATGTCTTTTATTGTCACCATTGATCACTTTGTTCTTGCTGATAAACGTATTACTTTTTTTTGTTTTAAGATCGTATTTTCCATACTTATTTTACTCCTGTCTCTCAAACAGATTAAGATCCTGCAGGCTACAGGTCTCCCACAGTACCTGTCCAATTTTGTCTTCTGTCAGTACTCTTTCTGGGACCAAGCAGAGCCTGTTATTGTTGCCCCGGAAGTAGATCCGTCTGCCTCCTTCTCTAGCAGTAAAGACCCCCACTGCATGGTGGTGTTTGACAGCTGTAAGGTACGACTCAAGACGTGTCCCTTTACAAGCTGATCGTAAATTAGGCTCGATGTATTATAATCCTATAAACCAATCATAGCTCTAATGGTGATCCTGGAACGTGCTGCTTGTTTAAATGATGTAGAGTTGTGAATTATCACTAATATTGCCCTTCAGCTTTTAAAACTGTGGTGAATTGTGTATCATTAACATGCATTTACTTTTGGTATACTCTGTACTGTAGGAACATGCCGTGACTGTAACAGAGGAATTTATCGAGTATCTAACAGAGGGTGCTGTAGCCATTGAGGTGTTTGGACACAGACAGGCTGATCCAGGCAGGAACCCTGCGCTGTGGGATCTCAGCATCATCCAGGCCAAAACACGCACATTACGTGACAGGTTTGAACACAAAACTGAGCTTCAGCCCCCCTGCAATTGTCCAATTATGCTAATACAAATGTAGAGAACGTTGTGTGCAATTAAGCATGCATTATCTGATGATCTGCTTCTGCTTTTTTGAAAGGTTTGACTCTTATGTGTCCTCAGGTGGAGTGAGGTAACCCGCAAGTTGGAGATGTGGGTACAGATTCTGGAGTTGAACGAGAACGGAGAGTACATTCCCGTGGAGGTGGTGCCAGCGCGAGATATTCGCACGGGTGGCATCTTCCAGCTCAAACAGGTCGGGCTTAGAAATTACACTACTGTAAGCATGTTAGCCCACTGCTGCCATCTATAGTTATATTATGATCAGATTACGATCAGAATAAACCATAGCATGAACCACCTTAGGCTTAGCCGAGTTTTTTTTTTTTTGTCACATGCTCGATATAGACATTAACAGTGTTTTTTTGCATGCTTCCCTTGAGCAAACTCTATTTCTTTTGCTTGTGCTCTTTTATTCTATCTACACTGTTTAACGTTTTGGATCAGGGTTTTTGTCATGGGGTATTAACTGTTTTTGTTTGTCTTTCCCAGGGCCAGTCTCGCCGGGTTCAAGTGGAGGTACGTTCAGTGCAGGACTCCGGCACGATGCCTTTGATATCAGAGATCATCCTGGGAGTGTCCATTGGCTGTGTGGAGATCAGACAGGTCCGGATGACCAAAAACAATGAGCCACAAGAGGTAAATGTGCCTTTTCACTTGAGCTTTTAGCATTTAGCAGGATCATGTCTGGATATTTTCAGAGGTTGTAATGTTTATATTGTTTTTCTTTGTAGCCTGAGGGTGATGAAATGGACAGTTATCAGGTATGTTTGGTTGTGATGCAATACATCTTTGACATTGATTTTCAGTTGATTTAAAAATATCAGAAGTTATTGTTTTATATTATATAATATTTTTTTATATAAGCTTTCTATTCAGAATCTCCAAACAACATATTAAGAAGCTCAGCTGTTTTTTTAACATTGTTAATAATATTAATAAAACATAACATAATAACATTTTTCACTAAATCAGCATATTAAAATGATTTCTGAAGTGTGACACTGAACACTGGAGCAATGCCTTTGCTATCACACGAATAAATTACATTTTAAAATATATTCCAATAGAAAATGTGTTTTCTATTGGAATATAGTGAAACTGAGGTGCAGTTTTGAATCCGGTCTGCATCATTTCCTGACCGCATTCCTGTCTCTCCCTCCCACTTGTTTCCTGTCTTTCTCCACTGTGCTTGCCATTACAGGCATAAAGGGTATATGTAGTTAGCAAAAAATTTATGCCAAGCAAAAGCAATTTTTGTGGTTATGCATTTGTCCATCATCCTGTAGGAGCGTGATTTAGAGCGTCTGCGGCGTCAGTGGCTCACCGCTCTCACTAAGAGACAAGAATATCTGGACCAACATCTTCAGACCTTGGTCAGCAAAACAGGTAAAAACCAGACAGAGACATTTTACTGCTTTGTAGTCTCAGCTCAGTAATTGACTACAAAAGCAAAATTCAGACTCGAAATTGGGGTGGGGAAAAACTTTGAGATTTGACTGAATCAGAGCTACATTGATTGGTCAGCATTTTATTTCTGCATGTACATTGATTTTTTTTTTTTTTTTTAAATAGCATAATTTGCATAAAATTAAAGCTGTGAGAAATCTTTGGTTTCTTGACAGCTCTGCTTATATTTATCATGATTGAACAAATGTTTTCATCTTTTCTAAAAGTTTTTTATACATACATTATAGTGCACAATGTTATTATAATATTAAATAATTATTTATAGAGAGATGGATGGAATGATATTTAAAATGGCTGGGCATTGACACAAATTTCACAATTCAGTTTGATTTTGCATCAAGTTTGTGATTCGATTTCAATTTGATTCAGTTCGATTCAATTTTGATTAATTAGGGCTGGCAGGTACTGTACATGGCACATTTCCTCAATGACAAAAATATCTCTCTAAACTTGGTACAGTAATATTAATATTAGTCTAATAATACACTAATATTAAAGGTTAAAATCATCTGATTTGCAGGCTACTTCATTTTAAATTACAAAAGGAATTTTTTTTTTAATAATAATACATATACGAATACATATTGGATGACAATTATGATTCAACTTTTTTTTATTAAATTTCGTGGCTGTCATATTAAATTTCGTGGCTGTCATAAAAATGACAAATTAATCAAACACTGAATACTGAAGAATATTACTTTTAAAATATAAAGTAAAAATACAATGTATATGTGATATAATGCTTATATTTAGCATAATACTCCTTTCTTAAAGATTAAATCTTTCATGTTTTTGGTCAAAAAGTTAGGTCAAAAGTAATCTAAAAGTAGTCAGATTATATTACCTTAACTGTGTAAAGTAATGGATTACGTTACTAATTACAATTTTTGTCATGTAATTTAGAATCAGTAACCGACTACAATTTGTAAGTAATCTACCCAGCACTATATATACATACTATATACTGTACATACACACAACAAATATATATAAATATATATATTTTTTATCATAAATTTGTTTATATATATTGATGACAGGGCCTTCTCTGCAGAAATGGCATGACATATAAATGAAAGGACACATTGTTGATTCTCTCTGTGACCAGATAAGTCTGAAGATGACGTGGAGAGGGAGGCCCAGCTGCTTGAGTGGCGTCTGACGCTCACGGAGGAGAGAAATGCAGTGATGGTGCCCTCTGCTGGCAGTGGAATACCAGGAGCTCCTGCTGAGTGGTACGACACTGCTGCGACCATACTGGGCAATTTCCATTAAAACTTATGAGTTAAATTATTCTTTATAGATAACTGGTATACATGTTGTCTGTCAGAGGAGTTTGAATGAAATTTAATGTAAAGTCAGCTTAGTTTTGTGCAGGGAGGATGTTCTAATCCTTAAACGATGTGTTTTGACAGATTGATATTTTGATTTAAGGCTTTGTTTGTGAAATGAATGTCAGTGTCAGTTTTCACAAATGTTTAGTCATGAGTATCTGGGCCATGTGTTGATTTTTATGTCTGTCTTGGCAGGGTACCAGTACCTGGGATGGAAACTCACATTCCAGTGCTCTTCCTCGACTTGAGCGGTATGTTTTTCCTGCCTGCTGAAGAACAGCAATGTTCTCTGCAGAAAGCAATGTCCGTCTACGACCTTTCTTCCGTTGCTCCGATTTGCAAGCACTATTTGTCTTAACACTCATTTTCACACTTGTTCCTCCTCCCTCCAGCTGATGACTTCAACTCTCAGGAGAACCTAGACGTTCCCGAGGCAGGCGGCTGGGACGCTATGCTCAGCTCAGAAGATGAGGATGAATTTTTTGACCTTCAGATCGTCAAACACTATGATGGAGAGGTGAGAATGTGACCCACGCACATTCGGGGCTCTCGCAGGCTCCCTAGTTGTCTGTGAAGGAATGTATTAACCTATTTTACTTCCAGATGAAAGCCGAAGCCTCTTGGGACTCCACGGTTCATGAATGTCCACAGCTGAGTCGAGGGGCCGCCCCAGATCAGAGAGTATACTTGATCGTTCGCACCGTGGTACAGCTCAGCCACCCTGCAGAGATGCAGCTAGTCCTGCGCAAACGCATCTGTGTGAACCTCACTGGACGACAGGTGCGGCACAGTCTACTTTAAATGACTTACGCCATAATCAGAAAGGCAGAAAAGCCTTCTCAAACTTTCTGCTGTTAAAGGGTTATTTAACCCAGGAATGAAATTGATCTCGTAATTTACTCAAAATTACTAAAAAGCTAAAAAAAAGCACATCCATCCATCATAAAAGTAATCCATATGACTCCAGTGGATTAATAAAGACCTTCTGAAGCGAAGCGATGCGTTTTTTTGAAAGGAAAATATCCATATTTATAACTTTATAACTTAAGAAACTATAATCACTGACTAGCAACTTGCGAGTTTAGTTCCAGCAGAAGAGTGACCTCTGACCTGACATATCTTGACTTGCGTACGGCCGTTAGCAGAAGCCAGTGATTTATAGTTTATAAAGTGATAAGTCTATTTTTCATATTGGATTATGGATTACTTTAATGATGGATGGATGTGGCTTTTTGGGCTTTACAAAAGGTACCATTCACTCCCATTATAAAGCTTGGAAGAGTCAGGATATTTTTAATGACACCGATTGTGTTTGGCTGAAAGAAAAAATACACATACAGTACACCTATGATGGCTTGAGGGTGAATAAATTATGGGATAATTTTCTTTTTTGGGTGAACTAACCCTTTAATTAAGCTTAACATACAGCTGTTCCATATGTTTTTGGTGCTTAGAAACCTTTTTAAGAAACAAAAGTTTTTCATATCTATCCCTGAGTATTTGTTTTCTTTTGTTTAAACAGGGTTTTGCCCAAAATTTCTTGAGAAGAATGTCCACCAGGAGCACAATTCCCGGCTGTGGTGTGACCTTTGAGGTTGTCTCCAACATCCCAGGGGTAGGCAATGGCATACAGTACAAAATCTGCTATTTTGTCTATGTGTATAATGCATTAGAGTCTGGGTTTTATGTTTTTTTTCAGTTACCAATGACTATATATAATACTTTTGCTTAATTCAGAACAGTGTTGCTATTTCTAACTAAAAAAAATACTGAAATTGAAGCAGCACTATGTAACTTTTTCAACCTTTATAATATTTTTCCAAAACCCTGGAGATGGTACATTGACTTACAATAGGTTGAATGACAGGTCTGCCATTATAGCCCTAAGCACTATGCAACTTCGAGGTGCGGGTAGGAACCCGAGCACAAAAAGAACTACAAAATTCGACTGCTTTACGGCATACATCACTTCCCCCACTTCCTCAAATTCCGACGCGAGAGCCCAACAAGCGTTTTTTTTTTTTTTACCTGTATGTTGTCATGGCTCCAGTCCGGTGCATCAATCTTCCCCCGTCTTGCAAATGTGAAGTGCGTCAGAAACAGAGCGCTTGCGCGATCAGTTTACTGTTGGTAATGTGTTGTCCGCATCCAATGTAGACTGCATTGCTTTCTTTTGAGGGCGCTTAACACACTCAAGCATCCCCGTAGAGCCGGGGCGGGCAATTCAATTAATGAGTTTGCTAGGGGCTACATTCTTGTTGGTAAATAATACATGATTAGATGGACAAAATAATCGATCAGGATCATATCCTATGTCTGCAGGCTGATAGTCATTTTTGTTAGTTATTTTTCTGGTGAAAGGGTCTTGCCTCAGGCTATAATGCAAATTGATTTTTCAAATTTGCAGATTCATCTATGGTAGCTTAATATTATAATATTGACGACATGGCTATTATCTACCAACAAGCATTGAATTGAATTAGCATATCCATTATGTAAAACAGTAGCCAATAGGCTAACGTTACTATGAAGACGCTGGCTTGTAAACGTGAGCTATGCGATCTTTTGCCGTTTAAAAAAAATAAAGCCCATGAAACTATATTCATATGACACGGCTGAAATATGTGCCAATGTACCTGGGATGAAGACATTTCACACGGAACACTGGAGTCTGCACAAGATGTGAACTGATTCCTTCTGCAGAGTTCGGGGGTATCACTTGTCAACAAATCCATGCGTGTATTCCCTAGTGCAACCATGACAGATTTTACGACAGTAGTAGAAGACAATACTGTTTCCCAACTGTAGGGGGACCCTGAGAGCAAAATTTCAAAAGTAACATAATGCTGCTTTAAAATTAAAATAAAATATAAATGATGCCAAATAACGTCTTAAATTAATATAAATAAAAGCTAATTCAAAATATGAATAAATACTATAATAGTATATGAAAAGTACCAAAATTCAAAAACATTAATTCAGAAAAAAAATTTCTGTAAATTTCAGTATTGAAGGAAGGAAAAACTTCTATGTTCTTAATTTACCCATTATCTTAAAACAGGCAGTTATTCAGTCATATGTATCATTGCAACAACTAAGTGTCATGTTAGTTGGCCATTACCCACAAGAAATGAACTTGTATCAGCAAAAGCTGCTCTGGTAAAGATTTCTTTACCACCTGGTTTCTTTAGCTGGATTGTTTCTAAGCGCCTGTCTTTCTCGACTGTGTACGTCAGCAGGACAGTCAGAGCTCAGAGGACAGGGAGATGCTGGCCCGTGTGGCCACCAGCGCTGAGAACGCCAAATCCTTAGACAATGAAGCTGCCACAGAGAAGTACCTACGGAGCGTCCTGGCCGTGGAGAACATCCTCACACTGGACCGTCTGAGACAGGTCACCCAGCTACCTCCACTTATATTTTTGTACTGATGAGTCTACATTTTATCATCTTTCTTATTTCATAATCATTTGAGCACGTTTTTTTTAAACTGAATTTTACAGGATGAATAAATTTAAAGGCAGAAAACCACCCTTAGGCCGTGTCCACCATAGTGTTTTTAGCCAGTTGATGGAGAGTTTTTTCAGTTGAGAAGTTTTGCTTGCATTGATTCGGAATATCCGCCGAAGTGTTTCTAGTGTCTCATTTCACATTTAGTTTGTTTCTGTATTGTTGATACAATGTAAATTATTTCTTGCTCTTGTTGTAAATTTTGTTCCATTATTATGCTGCTTGTCATCTGTTGCCGTTGTCCAAGCAGGATGTGGCGGTTGGTCAATGTGGTATTTGTCCCTCCATTTCTCCACTGTGATTAAACAGCTGGGTAAAAAGTGAAAAAGTTTTACCAAAGGTTAAACATTCATAAACTCTTGGTGACCGGTAAAAACGCTGAGCATTCAGCAAGAAATAAAGAGTTCAGATGCAAAAGCTTCTAAGTGCCATTTGAAGTTTTCTTCTAGAATGACCATTTTTATCAAGCTTGTATATTTAAGTTCAGTGATTTCACTTAAATGGCAATGATAATTACCTATTAATTGTTATTTAAGTGAAATTACTGAACTTAAATATACAAGTTTGATAAAAATCATCATTAAAGAAGAAAATTTCAAATGGCATTTAGAGGCTTTTGCATCTGAACTCTTCAAATAGACACTTAGCAACACATCACACTGCTGGCGTTTTAAAAAAGCGGCGCTCCTGTTGAAAACAATTGGAAACATAAGCTAGCCTCTGGGGGAAAAAAACGCTTTGGTGGACACAGGGCCTTAGTAATCATTTTTTAGATGCGTCAAACTGATTCGCAAAGTGTTTGTAAATCACTGTAGCTTAAGGAATAAAACTGAGGACAGTAATGTGTTAGCACATCATTTGACTCATTCTATATAACCTTATCATAGTGATAAATAGCAGTTCTAGGAATCCGTTCACTAAAATGAATGGTGACTTTCCAGTGCGGTCTAGTTTCTCAAGTTCAGCTCTGCATGTTGTTTTCATCATGTAAATCAGATCATGTATTACAGGAGGTGGCTGTGAAGGAGCATTTGGCAGGTAAAGGCAAGGGCAGCAGACGCAGTCTCAGCTCTCCCAGTGTGCACCGGGTAAGTGCATCTGTAGCCTTAAATTCATCTTAACAGAGAGAAATGTTAAGGACATTTGGCATCAACAGAGTCTGGCACATTCTGTATTCACACATCAACTCTTCGTCCTCTAGTTATCTGGAAGCAGACAGGATCTGTCACTAAACTCAGTGCTGGATGACAACAAGGTAAGATTCTAGGGTGAATTTGACCATATGCTCCACTACAGGAAACCGGTTGTTTTTTGTAACCTCTGATATCCAATTTGCTTATGTAAGAATCGATGGGAGAGTCAGCAGGATATCTTCGGTACATCCTCCCAGTTTAGCAAAACACTGCCACGACCATCCAGACCTCCTACACCTCCTACACAGAATCAGGATCCTGAGCAAGGTACGACATAATGATCACTCTTTAAGTGAGCAGTTCAGGACGTGAACAGTTTTTTTTTCTGCAATAAAATAATCTTCCTTTACCATTTCCAGCATGACCCTTTCTTTATTTGCCTTATCTTTCAACTTTCAACTCCGTGTTCTCTGTAAGTCTGTCAGACTCAGTCCTGCCTGTATGCTGGCATTTCTAACCTGGTTTACGAAATGTAATTTAACTTTTTGCTTGTTAGAGGGAAAATATCTGTTTCTAGTTCGAGGTTTGAACCGGCAACTTTTTGGTTACCACTGAACATCTGTCTCGTTCAACTACAATTTTTCACCACTCTTTGTGATCTGTCAAAAAATGTCAATGTGACATTTTGTATCAGTGTGACATTATTTTCCAGCGTCATGCTCTCCTCTTTTATATATTTTCTACATCCGTCTTTGTTTCACCATCGTTGTCGTCTCTCTCCACACACCTCTACCTTGGTTTTTGCCTCCTTCTTTCCCAACCTGCCCACAGGTTTTTCAGGGCTTGCTGATTCTTATATCTCCACAGTCAAGGCCCTGGTTCCTCAGATGCCCAAGCTGCTCAAGTCCCTGTTTCCCGTGCGTGAAGACAAGAAAGATTTGAGACCCTCTCCACAGTCACAACAGGTTTGAACAAATTTTTTTACATGACATTTCAGCCATTTTAATGAGTAAACCATGCCCAAACCTCGCTTTGCTGCCCTGAGTCTCATGTTTTCTGTGCAGGTCATATTTTACCGTCAAACAAACAAAAACAAAAATTGAGAAATAAAATGCGTAAACAATGCATTTTTAAGACAAAGTTATTTCCAATTATGTGTAGATCATGTGGTATTTGTTGTAGTGTATTTAATTTATGCTGATATTACAGTATAATTCTACAGAAATTAGAATTTCGTAAAATGCGCTTAATTGTCAAACATATGAAAATGCAAAAAAAAATATATTATGGTCCTAAAACTAGATTTTATTTCTTCAAATATTTCCTCTTTAAATTGAATGAGCAGTACCTATGCTTATAAACATTTCTGCATGTAAATTCCAGTCAACAGTGATTCGTGCATAAATGGAAAAAAGCAATGTGAAGTATCCATCATAAAAATAGCCGAATTAGCGCTTGCAAAGCCTTTCAGAAATATGCTGCATTTAGATGAGTAAATCATATGTGGTAATCAAAGAGGGATGCGAATGCTCTTGACCGATTTAATTTGAGTCAATTTTAGATTCTAGTATACTGTCGTTCTGTCTTCATGCCGCCTCATTTCCATATAGACAGAAATTCCATACGCTACTACATTGCCAATATATCCGTGATATATTATCCATCTTGTGTGAGGCAAATTAAGTCTTTAAATTAAGCCTTATTGCTTGGTGGGGGATTTTTTGTGAGAAAAAACGGCTTTTTTGGTTTTCCTTGATTAAAACTGTGTCCTCATTTTGTCAAAGTAAATCATGTCAGAGAAACCTGATTATATGTTAGGCAGGAGTCTCTAGATAAACTCCAGTATTTAATTTCCCCAAGATTAATTGTCAAGCCATACTCTTTCATCATATCTCCTAGCATGCTTTCAACGGAGGCGTAGAGGGGAAAAAAAAATGACAGTGATATTTCATCGTGTACATCACTTCTCCCCTGCATGCAGACTTTTGATCTGTCAGTACTTTAGATCAAAAGTAATCCAAACGCTCCCACCATAAAGAATGAACACGTGACGCTTAAATCAAGCTTTGTGTCGCCTCTTTGAAAACCATTACTGAAATCGTAAAAACAAATTTAATACGTTCCATTCATCTCTCCAGCATATGCCACGAATAATGACGCAAACAGCCAACAACCCTGATGAAGGAAGAGTAAGAATAGAACCAGTAAGTAGATCTCCACTCTGATCTCATGCTCTGTCTTGGGCGAAATTAAATAAATATAAATGATGAATTGGGTTACAGGCTTGTGTTCTGTAGAAATATAGCCTAGGAAGATATTTTAAGAGCTAAGTCTTTCTCTCCTGCATGTGATGTAAATTGCATGCTATTAAATCTGTGGTTTTCCTAGCATGAGCACTCTGTGTCAAAGTCAGATGATGGGTTGAGGTGTAGTTAAATATTCCTTGTGGTTTTGGACGTGCTTCCTAGGTCGCAGTAATGGGGAAGAGTTCTGCTTCAGACAGGCACTCAGATGCTCCTGATGCCCCATCCTTTCTGCATGATCCGCATGACCTGCCCCTGAGCCCCATCAGCGAGGCCTCCAGTGGCTATTTCTCTACTAGTGTCTCCACTGCTACCCTTTCCGATGTCTCCATTGCTTGCGGGGACCTTACGCCTACTCCCAATACCCAAACTGGCCCAGTAGCATCCAGGCAAAGAGGAGACGACACTGAAGACTGTCTACCCACCTCTAATGTCTCTGCTTCTGCAGAAGCTGGGCTAAGCTCTGACAGGCATAGAAAAGACGAAGATAACCACAGGAATGGCGTCTCCACCTCCCAGCAGGAAGTGCAGCTAAACGCAAACCTTCCCCTGGTGACGAGTACCTCCATAGACAACCCTTTCTCCCTCCAGAAGGTCAAAGCCAATGAACTCCGGTCTTTCAGCAACATTCTTGGAGACGGTAGCGGGAAAACAACCACAATGCAGTCGCAACAAACTAACAGCCTGGAAAAGCTGGAGATAACTTTTGAGGATGTAGAGCCCAAGGAACTTGCTTGGCTTAAGGTGGGAGGGAGAGTCACTGTAGGAACCAGTAAGTCTGGCACGGTCCGCTACATTGGGCCAACACACTTCTCTGAGGGCGTCTGGGTTGGTGTTGAACTGGACACTCCCTCAGGTTAGTCAAATTTTCCATTGTCTGAGAAGTTTTATGAGATGTTGACACCTTGGTGAGGCTGATTTACAGACTTGTTCCTCAACAAGTCCCCCCCACCCACCTCATTAGTTTCAATCCAAATGAACCTGGTCAAATAACAGAAGACTTGACTTGATTTCTCCTTTCTAGTGACAAGTTTTCTGAGATGCTGACTGATTCACAGACCTTGTTCCTCTTGTATCCTTTGTCCACCAGGTAAGAACGATGGTTCCATTGAGGGCCAGCAGTACTTCCGATGCAACCCCGGTTACGGGGTGCTAGTCCGTCCAGATCGGCTGACTCGAAGGGAAGCTTCCAAAAGACACACCGAAAATCGCCGCAGCGGAGAGTTTAGTCAGCAACTGAGGGGAGGAGCCGGCACTGCCATTCAAAAAGGAGAGAATCGCAAATCTTGGACCAGCTAATTGACAATGAGCTGAGCAGGACTGAACCTCCACAGCTGAGCTACACTTCCAACATCGCAATCTAATGGGGGAGGTCACCTCTATCCATCAGTGTTCTTGGGCTTTGCATGGAGAGGTGGTACAACATTCCCTTACAAACTTCTCTATCATTTTCGGTGCTATGCTAATGTGTAGCATGTGGGAGTGCTATGAATTTTAATAAGCTGCTTCAGCTCCAGGTATGTTCTTTGGGATTTGTTGGTTTGGTAACTCAAACAAGCCTCCTTGAGTTGACTATAAATGAATCTTCCAGGTCTTTGGGATCAACCCATCAATCTTGTTTGTGCCCTGGTTTTATCAAGAGTCCATTTTTGGACTTGATACTGCAGATTATGCTTGATTTATCTTCTTTGCGCAGTCAGTAATCGATTTGTAGTTTCCTGAATGTGCCTGTTTAAGTCAACCCATTTTTTTTGTTTGTCATACCTCATTGCACCTTTGTGACACTAGTTAAAACGTGGTAAATGGTATGGTAGACGTGTAAGAGATTATCTCAGGGATTCGATCAGACTTAATGGATATTTGTTAATCTCTTAGCCGGTGGTTGCATGTATTTCAAGGTGAGTGTTGCCCTGAGCAGGTCAATGCAGGTAATTGATGTCAGCACTACTATTACTGTCCAATTGGCCATTGATTGGATGACTAAATTCACAAGATTGAATATTTTATTTGGTTTGGTGCCATTTGAAGGTGTGCCTATCAGTATTTAAGGGGGAAACTACCCGCTTGGTCTGTATCCTTGATTGCACATGGAGGGTTTTTAGACTTGACTGAATTGGCACATTCAGGCTTAATGAACTGGCCTAATTATTCTCTCTCTTAATGGTTTTAAGGATTGGACTGGGGGGGGAAAAGTATTTTAGAGGGCTTATTTACAATCTGATGGGTTAGCGCACATTTTAGTAAGCAGCCTTTTAATTGGAACTGGGTTATTGAAACTACTTCAACACACAAATACTTTGTGCTGCAATTTAGTGACAATTAAATGTAGCTCCATTTGATTGGTTTCTAAAGGACTGTCTTCCACAATAAGGTCACGGTAAAAGCACATTCCAGTTTTGTGTATTGGACCAACTTTGTCCCTGGCAATACCTACATCTTATTTATTCAAAATAAAAAGATCTAAAAGTGATTTCATTAAATATTTTTAGCATACTGTATAAGCCAAGTTGGCACATTTATATCATTTTAATTAGGAGCATGGTTCCACACAGATATGATACTTTTGTCTCCACATCGTGATGGAGAGAAAAGACGTGTTATTTCGTTCCTTTTATATTCTATTTTCGTGGAAATCCTCTTGTGATTTCTGAAGTCAAATGCAATATCAAATGATTAAAAAAATATATTTTAATGGTTGTAGGTATGTATATTGAATTTATAAAGTGTAAAAATCCAATGAATGGGAAATTAATTTGCACATTTGATTTATATTAGATAGCTTATGTGCCCAAAGGGTACTTAGTTTTGTTGTAAATTAACTTAAACTAACCAATTATCCACTGTAAATCTGCTTTTCACTGGATTTGGTGCTCTAAAGTCAAAAGCATATCAAAATTTAGATGAGATGATTTTTCCAGAGTTTCAAGTTGCCTTTAATTTGTTTTCCTGTTGAGTGATGTCTTGATGTTTGTGTTTTGTCATAAAAAAATGGGTTTAGATCTTCCCATTTTTTATTTATTATTATATTTTTTTTCATGTGTCTTGATTTGTGCCTCATTCATCATGAGAAAAAACATGCACATATGGAGCAAGACTGTTGCTGTGATTATCAACCACACATTAGCAACTAGTCATTCTTGAGTATTAAATTAAAGGTTATACAACAACAGATTGTTTGCCTTTGGAGTGACAATTCTCAACTAAGTTTATTTTAATACATTTTCTGTTTTAGCAATAACAATTTGATGGTTCTTTGGTTTGAACCTAATATTTGTTCCTTGTCACTAGAAAGGAGAAATGAACTTATTGTTGAATCTCAATGAGCTGATCTCCTTTCACGGCCCCACATTTCAATCATAGAAACTTTCATCTTGGTGTATGCTGGTGTAATAGGTGATAGTTTTATTTTCAAGTGCAATTTTTCCATTTTTTTAAACATTTGTATCATTTAAAAGGCTAAATGCATTCTACATCCATTCTAGTTAAAGTACGTCTTCATTAGCAATGACACCTTGATCTTTTATAAAGTGGCATAGATCCGAGCAACCACACAGTGGCCTTTTGAAGTCAAATACTAAATACAGTTGTGGATAATCATGCTCTCCTCCTGTTTGAAACCCTTCCCATTGATGGCACCCAGAGAAAATGGGTTTGAAGGAAACTTTGGGCCCTGCTGTTAACACAGATGTCAGACGAAGCGCTTGGCAGGAAGTTGCTGCTCTACTTTTGTAGCCCCTCCCCTCTCTTCCTCCTCCTCTCCCCTCTTTTTGATCAGTGAGTGTACGGCTCCATCTTTCACCACTAGTCTCTGTGCCTCGTCCTGAGGTTTAATGATTTTATGTCATGAACGTTGTAAATGGAGCTTTTGTCCCTGAGTATGTGTGTTTTGTATATAGTTGCATCTTGAGAGTTCAATCTGAGCACAAGGCTGGGTTTGATTAATTTAATTATCTGCAATTATATGCTGATATCCAAAGAATAATCATGTATAATAATTCATTTATAATTTCTTTTATATTGACTGTACAATAATCTGGCTGTAAAGGTAAAAATAAAAAGTGAATTGATTTACACGTCTTATCCCTTGAGTTATTTTTGTTTTTTGGTGGCCTCGATTACTTGTCCTTGATGTGAAGAATAAAAATAACATGGTTCTTTATTACATGCAAACCAGGGGGTAGAGTAAACATTTGGGGATTAGCCCATATCAAGTTAAACATTTGGGGATAAACAGTTGGGGATGAGCCCATATCTAGTTGATCCAGGTGTTATGAATATGGAAGGAGAACCCAAGCACAGACTGGATGCAGTGACTCAACGTTTAATTATACAGAAAACAAGGGAAAGCAAAACCCACGAGGGGGCAAAACAGAGACAATACAAACGAGGGATAACTAAACTAGATAACACTTGACCAAAAACTAGACTATTAACAAATAAAACAGCAAATACAAGATGTTCTTCTGAAACAAGGTACTCACAGGTAGACTCTCACAAAGTGACAAAGATTTACAATGAACCTGCCCAGGACAGCAAACACAAGGGGATTATAAAGGGAGAAACTAACGAGGGGAACAGGTGAAACAGACTAGGTAATAATGACAGCATGAGGATAACAAGGGGGTGGGGTCTTAAAAGGCCATGCGCTTGCACACAAATCATGGTTCTGCCATGATCCTGCCACAAAACAAGAAAAATCAATGACATGATGGCAGAATTTGACATGAAGGCTTCCAGACGCTCCTCAAGGGGACATTAAACACGGGACATGACAGACTGTGACAAAGACACAAACCAACAATACATGACAAAAACTAACAAAGGCATACAAGAGAAAACAATAACAATAAAAACAAATATAGCTGCGAGCAGCGATTGCGGGCCCAAGCCGGTGGCACCGCAACCCCTTTGCCTTTAGTTACCTAAAGGCACCGGGATGGCGGTACCGCCGGCATTGGCCCTTCATCGCTGCTCGCAGCTGTATATATATATATATATATATAAAGTCGGTGGCACCGCCACCTTGGTGCTTTAGGATTATTCTGCATGACGTGCAAAAACGTAACCCCCGCTTTGACTGATGCAAGCTCTACAGCACACTTCTTTTCAACAATGCGGACTCGACTGTAACTCCATGTGGCTTTAAGCGCATCATTCTCCACTCGGGATGCGCATAAGCGCTTCGTGCCCACTGTACTGAGTCTTTCATATCATAATGCAGTGACGCAATGACAGATTATTAATTGCCTTTCTTGTTCTGTCCTATATATTATATGTTGATAATAGATAGGACAGAGCACTAAAAACTTAAGCTGTTTGCTGCATGTAAAATGACTAATATTTTTTGGATTTGTTGTTTATCTTTATAATGAAGTTGTCTGTATTAAGTAGTTGCGTTTAACACACACAAGAGTGATTTATTAGTTCAACACACAAGTTATAGAAATTCTACTTTATCTAAAAACATGCACTTTATATAAACACACACATACATACATGCATACATACATGCATACATATATATATATATATATATATATATATATATATATGTATGTATGTATGTATATATAAAGAAAGACAGAGAATAATACTTCCTTTACCTGATTAGAATGCTACCTTGAAAAACAAAAAATTCATTTAAATTTCACCCAACAGAGAAATCCCCCTGCCCCCTCCCCACACAGGATTGTCATCAAACAGAGCATAATCTGTTTATTTTTAAGTTACACATTCTACATTGATTAAAAAAGAAACATCAAATGTGTTTTTATTATTTTATACAGAAACAAATATTTGTAATTCAGAAGAGAATGAGGTTAGTGTTTAAAAATTTTAAGGAAAACAAATATATTGAAATATAGCACATTAATTTTAAATTCATTCAGCTTCAATTACAAATACAATCTTACTTTTATTTAAAGCAAACTATATACAAAATTGTTATGCAAAAAGACAAGGAATTAGAGACAAGGACAAACACAGACAACAGCCCTCCCCTCCCCACACAGACAGACAGAGAGAGAGAGAGAGTGAATGGCAGGGGAAATAAATCCATTCATACTACAATATCTGACTTTCTGTTGCTCAAAGCGAATGACTTTAAATTAGAAAGTTGATCGGCTTGACGAGAACAATATACGTGGCAAGTTTTGTAACTGTAGGTAAAATGAGCAAAGTTATAACACACTTTATGTGTCCTTTTTTAGTCATAAAATGTATTTCCTCGCCACGGCCAAACCGTTCGAGATATCAAAAATCCGTCCGGAATTTAGCATCCTCAATGTCTTGACTTCATGCACACCGAGTTTGGTTGTGATTGAATAAATGACCTAGGAGAAATACATCAAAGTACAACGCATACGTTTACCAAACAACCCATAATAGCTGACTTCCTGTTGAGCTGTCGTAAAACTTAGAGCAGGAAAGTTGTTCAACCCAATGAGATCTATAAATGTACCGAGTTTCATCTTATTACATGCAGGTGTGTTTGATTTATAGACAAGTGTTTGAGTCCCAGTCCAGGGGGTGCTGTCGAGCCGTCCTGCCACGCCCGGGTAGTACCAGCTTCAGCCCGGCCCTGATGGTCGCGGGTTCTGACGCGTGTGCAAAGTTTCAAGAGTTTTAGAGCATGTTAAGGGCCCCAAAAGCCCCAGAAACCTTGAAAAACAATAATTAAAAGGATTCTCACTCAAACAGACACATTCCCCTCCCCCACAGTCACAGAGGTACGCAGAGAGAGGGAAGAGAGATTAATCCAAAACATACATATTCAAACCGAAATATCTTCTTTTCTTCCTTTTCTTCGGAGCTAATGACTGTCAATTAGAAAGTTGTCTGGCTTGATCCGAACAATTTACCTAGTGAATTTTATGATTGCAGGGAAAACTATGAAACTTACCCTCTCACTTTTGTCAAAAGGTGGCGCTACTGAGCCCTCACCACGCCCGTTTCTGAAACTTGGCACATGTCTACTGGCTAATAAATGTGATGCGTCTGTCGAGTGTCATGCAATTTCAAGCATCCTAAGGGTCTCAAAAGCATCCTAAATAATGGTAAAGTTTGATGCGTTGCCACGGCAACAGTTTCAAAGATATCAAGAATCCATTCACAATAGGCTAAGATATCGAATTATCAAGAGAGCCCTTAACATTTACGATTAATGTAAACAAAGGAAAAATTATGACTGACATTGACAAGTCTGTACAGCATGACCTGACTTGACTGAAAATAGAGTGCGAGACTGAGGGCTATTAGCAGGGGCGGAGCTACATGGTGGCCAGGGGGGGCCACGGCCACCATTGGTCAAGGCCCGGCCCCCCTGCCGGCCCCCCCTCCCAACCTCACGGGAAAATAAATTTAATAATAATAAAAAATAAATATAAAAACTCCAGTAACGGTCTAAAAAGGAAGCTGAAATGTATGCATTTTTTAATCAAGTCATTGATTTGTCACTTGTTGGGTCTCGCCCCCATCAACAGTGCGAGACATAACGTGCCTGCGCTTGGGCTGTTTACACCTGGCCACTTCATGCGTTTTCTCAGATCGGATAGCTATCTGATTTATCAAAACGATTCCATTTACACCTGGTCACATAAATGTGTTTTTGCAAAATGGATATAAATCCGATCTTCAATTCCCGCGTTATATAGCCTACAGATTTAATGAAGTGCACGTCACCGAAAGCAACAGATATGAGCTGGATTTTATTGATCATCGGCTAATTTCAAAATCAGCAAAGACAGCAATAAGGGAGAGCGGCAACAGAACTGGTAAGATCATTTCGTTTCTTTACTTTTAATGAAGATGGTAGTGTTTATCGTCTGCGACTTACTTTCACTTTGATTTGCGATAGATTGCGGCGCGTTGGCTTGCGTTCAGCCGCTCATCTGAGGTGATGCGCGTCGCAGTAGCATCGTCATATCTGACTAAAATAGCATGACATGTAGCCTGTAACAAGCTCTCACGCGTTTCTTTTTTTTTTAGCATTTTTGGGAGTATTAACATTTACATATGGTTTCAAGAACAAGATGCATTTACACTTGTCCAGTTTCGTCTGGAATGCGGCCCAGACCACCTTCTGAAGTGGTTTTGAGACCATGGTGAGACCATGGTTAATGCAATTGTGAAGCACATTGTAATCACATGGCCATTCTACCTCCTTTACGTGCTTTTACTGCAGCTATATAGCAGAGTTTCCCACTAAGGAGACACATTCAGCATAGATGCACATGCAACTTGAAATTGCTATGCAATTCCATTAAAACAGTTATTCCAGTTTACACAAGATACATCGTTAAGAATGCATTGCATCTACAAACTTTTAACCTAAGTGTTTTCCATAAGCCATTTTCCCTTGTCTCTGGAACAACACATTTTATTAGGGCATTTTTGGGGCGCATATTAAACAGTTGTTGGATAGTCAGATTGTTAGGGAAAGTAGTAGTCCTTACTCCTCCCCAATTGTAGTGGTGACAAAGAAAGATGGCAGCATAAGGTTATGTGTTGACTATAGGCAACTAAATGCGAAAACTCGAAAGGATGCTTACCCCCTCCCTCGAATTGAGGAGTCATTGGATGCGTTATCAGGGGCAAGGTGGTTCTCCACTCTTGACCTGGCCAGTGGTTACAACCAGGTGCCGGTGGCAGAGAAAGATAAATTCAAGACTGCTTTTTGTACACCTTTTGGCCTCTTTGAATTTAATAGAATGCCCTTTGGCCTTTGTAACGCACCAGGCACTTTTCAAAGATTAATGGAGCGCATGTTTGGAGACCAGCAGTATCATTCTGTGCTGCTTTATCTGGATGATGTAATTGTGTTTTCCTCCTCTGTTAGTCAACATCTGGAGAGGTTGGAAGAGGTGTTCTCTCGACTCCAACAACAAGGGCTAAAAGTTAAGTTATCCAAGTGTAATTTTCTTCAAAAACAGGTCAAGTACTTGGGTCATGTGGTGTCTGCTGAGGGGGTGGCGACCAGTGCAGCTGGTGAAAATTATTGGAGGGGGGGCTGAATAAGAGGGGGGTCTGGGGGTTCTCCCCCAAAAAATTTTGAATTTAGTGGATGTGATTTCCTGCATTCTGGTGCATTTTAGGCCTTAGGCCATGCCCTTACCTATACCAATAAAATAACTTAAACCAGTCAATACCAATGGTCAAATAATACAATAATAATAAAAACAGTTTGACAGTTAATGATACTGAACAAGTTGCATGTTTATTATGCTCTGTGTGCTGACAGAAAAAGTGCAAACCCACAATATTGATAAATTATAATATAGGTAATACAAAAAATAATAGGTAATACAACAATCTAGTTTAATCAATCCCCAGCTGTAGACTACATATTTTTGACAAATTGACACTTGGATAATGGATAACAATGTGTTGATACTAGAGAAAGAGAGAGAGAAAAGGCTCTGAAAGAGAGGGTGGGACAACATTCTTGAGGGTAGCACCCAAGTATGAGAAGAAAGTTGATTTTAACTAGTATGAAACACAGTAATCTAGCTCAGAACTTAAAAACATCAACAAACAAAGCAAACACACAGGTATTAATATTCCTATAACTATTTTAATATCAAATGTGTGTGAAACAGTGTTTAGGTGTGTGTGAGTGAGTGACAGACAGAGACAGACAGGTCAATTCCCACGACTAACTTTACATTATTTCCACTCGAGGTCACTGGCGCTGCCATTCTGCTCTCATCTGAGGTAAAAAAAAAAATGTCCCGTGGTGCGCGTGCACGGTGCACTCCCATAATCTGATACTGTGGGCGATATTTTCAGCGCCCCCAAACCATAAAATTTGACGGCGCTGATTGGCGAAATATAAACTTTTTTGCATAGCAACCGGGGAACCATTGGCTTAAATTCCAGCACCATGGGGCTGAGCGAACTGGCGCCCTGAGAAGACAGCCCATTGGCTATACTACTACACCAACATGATAAAAGTAACGAAAGTGAATGCAAATATCATTCTGGTGAGTTCAAAACACTTTTCAAAGTAAAACCATTATTAGAATATAATTAACACAGATTATTTTTCAAAATAATAAATTATAATATATATTAAAAAAACAGACAGACAGGTCGGAGGGAGGGCGGCGCCCCAGCGCCCTCTATGGGCGAGCCGCCCCTGGTACCGACTGATCTGGCAAGTTGGAGGCTGTACGGGAGTGGAAGCGTCCGGTGCATTTAGCAGAATTACGGTTGTTTCTTGGGTTTGCGGGGTACTACCGTCGTTTTGTTAAGGGTTTTGCTTCACTGGCTGCCCCGCTACATCAATTGGTGAGTAGGCTGAGTGGACCTAAAAGGAAGGGTAAGACGCTTCCGATCCCATTAGGATCAGTATGGAATGAGGCCTGTGAGAATGCCTTTGAGTCCATTAAACATCGTTTGATTACGGCTCCAGTCTTGGCCTATGCAGACTTCACTAGGCCTTTTGTATTGGAGGTAGATGCCAGCCATGGAGGGCTGGGAGCCGTACTTTCTCAGGAGCATGATAAACTCAGGCCTATTGCGTATGCTAGTCGGGGTTTGAGACCCACCGAAAGAAACATGGACAATTATAGTTCCATGAAGCTTGAACTCTTGGCCGTGAAATGGGCAGTAACAGAAAAGTTTAGAGAGTACCTGCTAGGGAGTAATTTCGTCATATTTACTGACAATAACCCTTTAAGCCATCTTCAGACCGCAAAGTTGGGGGCGGTGGAACAGAGGTGGGCATCCCAATTGGCCTCATTTAATTTTACCATCAAGTATCGTCCGGGCCGTAGTAATGGCAATGCTGATGCTTTGTCGAGACAGTATCTGGAGAGATTTGCATCAGGGACAGACGTTCCACCTGTTTTGGTGGGACCGTTATCCAAGGGGTCAGAGAAAGAGGTAGGGTGTAATGAGGTTGTAGCACTGGCTGGGCGGTCTGTGGAGGACCTTTCCTCATTACAAGAAATGGACTCTGTGATTGGTCCGGTGTTGGCGTTATTTCGGTCAGGGGGTCAGCCTAGATCTGAAGAGAGAGAGGCAATGTCAGTGGGAAGTAAGGAACTGTTACGACACTGGGAACGGTTGGTAGAGAAGGGAGGGGCATTATACCGGGTAATACGATTACCAGGGGAATGTAAGGATACATTTCAGGTTGTACTTCCCCAGTGTTTGCAAGAAGAGGTACTTCGAAGTGTACATGATGGCCATGGCCATCAAGGCATTGATCGTACTCTTCAGCTGGTTCGTAGCCGGTGTTTCTGGCCAGGTATGACAAGGAGAGTGGAACAGTGGTGTCAACAATGAGAAAGATGTATTCTAAATAAGGCGGTGCAACCAAAGATTCGGTCTTTTCAAGGTACAATTCAAGCCTCCCGCCCTCATGAGATCCTGGCTATAGATTTCACCATTTTAGAGCCAGCCAGCGATGGTCGCGAAAATATTCTCGTTTTTACAGACGTTTTCTCTAAGTATACTCAGGCAGTGGCAGAATGGGAGGGGAATTGGGAAGTAACTACCAATCCCAGTACACATTGCCTATAGGATGGTCCAATTCAAAGGACAGGCAACATGGAAGGGCAGCCGGGGTCCTTGCAGCATCAGTTAGCCGTTTGGCTAGTAGCGTGTGGGACTGGGTGTCCTGTGATGTACTCTTCCTTGATGGAAGGTAAACCTGTTTTTTTGTTGTATTACTGCAATGGATGTTTTTATTGTGTTGATGCAGTCATCAACTATAGATTTAATAATTCTTTTAGATGAATCAGTGGTATTTGAATCCATTATGTGTCATGTGGGCATGAGGTGGTAATTGTGTTAATAGGGATATTTTACTATGTTTTAGAACTGTTTGCCTGATGGAATAAATTCAGGACCATCATGTTTTTTGTCTGATTGTGCACCTTAAAGGTATGGTTATTCATTTTGAGTTTGTTTGTTTGTGATGTGGATGGGACTGACACTCATGAAAAATACTCTATTTTTGTTATAGGGTGTTGGATGTTGATTGCTAGTCGCTGTTCTCTTATATGTTTTTTTTTTTTTTTGGTTTTTTTGAAAAAAGCCTGAAGTTGACTGCTCCCTGACTTATTGGTGGCAATGAATTTCCTAGCCAGCTTGGTTTGCTTTGTTTTTTTTCTCTGTTTAAAGTATTGATTGATTTTTTTTTTTTTTTTTTTTTTGCGGCTGGCTAGTGGAATTATTTATTTATGTTTCCATTTTTTTTGTTTCTTTCTTTGAATCAATTATGCAATACCAACTGCTTTCCATCCTTGATTAAGCTGCCAGGGGGTAGTTTTCCATCGTGATCGGGTGGTGAACTGGGAGTACAGATTAACAGAGCCCTTATAGGTCTGGGGGTTTGATTTGTGTGTTTGCCACATTGTGCATGTGTATCCTGTTGTAATGAAGGGCTTACTGGAGTTTGCTGTGGTTCTCACTCAATGCAATGAAGTGTCCCCTGTATAGGTAACTCAAGTTGTTTTGTATTCCTAGCCAGACCAATTGAGAAATTGCTGCCCCCATCCGCTGAAGCAATTTATGTTTTGAATAATTTTACAGTACTGCTTAATAAAGAAATTTGTATTTTTTATCATTTATTGTCTTTTGTGTTCATTTTTTTGGGGGCCCTAGCGGGCGTCACACAAGGAACCCAAACTCCATTAGTGACAAAAATGGAGAGGAAAAACCTTAAGAGATCATTGTTACACGGAAGAAATAACCACTGAAATTCATACATTATGCCACCTAATACTCGAAAATAATTGTCAATATCATAAATTTGATTGCACTGACACTACTGGATGAGAACTGTACTTTGCTGGAGGATTAATTCTGTCAGTAATTACTCACCCTTGTGTTGTTACAGTGAATAATTACTGACAGACTTTTAATTTTGAGGTGAACTAAACCTTTAACTTCACTCAAAAAAATAACTCTTTGAATAAACAAAAAAAATCATGGAAAGGATTTCCACATAATTAATTTGCTTTATTTCAGCATTATAAAATGATGTTGTTCCAATTTAATGTAGACTACTAATATTGAGTCAACTTAATTCATTAAGGTTGATTCAACTTATAAAAAATAATGTCAGCGAATTTAAAAAGGCGCTGAAACGGCGTCATTAGTGCATAGACATATGCAGCATAGGTATGTACACAGCTGTGCTATTATCTATGCTGCATATGTCTATGCACTAATGACGCTGAACCTGGGGGCGCCAAGTCCCCGAATTCTCCGGACTTGGCGTCCCCAGGTTCCAGCGTCATTAGTGCATAGACATATGCAGCATAGATATATACACAGCTGTGCTATTCGGAAACTCCTTTTCCTCGATTTACTGAAGCATAGATGTAAAACGTATTTGCAGCTGCACAGCTGTGTATATATCTATGCTGCATATGTCTATGCACTAATAACGCTGGAACCTGGGGGCGCCAAGTCCGGAGAATTCCATTGAGCTCTTCACTCCCTGCCCTCCATCTGAATTCTGCGCATCATCATAATGACTTGACTGAAACCCAGCTATTACCTGGGTGACGTCCTAATTCTACCGAGATTCAGACCTGCCAATACTAATAGTGTTTTAAAATATGCCAACTTCCCTATTATATAGTAGGAGAAAACAGTATGTGAAAGAAGTACTGTAGTACGTTAGGATTAATTTATACTAAGTTTAAATCTCGATATTTAATGAGTTTATTCTCAAGATTGTATTTCGACTTTTTTCTCGAAATTTAACAAGTTTAATCTCGCATTATAATGACTAATCTCGAGATGGTTTTATTTTTTTATTAATGGTTGGCCCTAATTCTCTTCTGTAAAAGTCAATCAACAGCATAAAAAAAAATTACAGTAAAAAATACATTAAGTCAAGTAAAAAATAAATAAAAATAAATTTACAATCAAACAAAAATATATAAAAAATCAAATCAACTGCATAAATAAAAAGAAAATTGTTTTTACAATAAAACAAAAATACATTAAGCCAATCAAAAGCATAAATACAAAACATTCACATCTATACAAAAGGTTAAAAAAGGAGCATGAAGTTACAAGTAAACTTACAAAGGAAATAGAAATATAAAACAAAGGAAATAGAAATATACAACAGTACTAGAAGAAATCAAAAAAGTTGAAAATAGTATGAAAAAAAAAGAGGCAAAGGAGGATGATTGGCAGCTTGACGATGTGGAGCTGGAGAGAGCTGTGACCAAGGCAGGTGCTGACAGAGGGAACCACCACAGAGGAGAAAATGGATGGAATAGTGAGGCAAAACATGGCAGGAAGCCCCAACAAGGTCACCAGGATGTAGGGCAATGGCACGGTCGATAAAAGGATAGGTGGACCTTTGGTAAATGGGCCTGGCAGAACCTGGGGAACAAAAAACTCAGATGGAGCCATTAGAGATGGGGACCAAGGCAGAGCTGAAGACCCAAGGCAGAGTTTCAAGAAGATTGGAGAAACGTATTTTTTCGCACAAAAAAACTAAAAAAAAAAAAAAAACGACAGGGGTAACTGTCTTTTTTTTTTTTTTTTGGGGTCGAAATTTTGAGTTTCTCTGATCTTCTTGAAACTCTGGATTCTGATAGAGGGTCATGGGACTTAAACCTGAGTGCAAAAATGGAGGCTCTAGACCTTTCCAGAGCCGAGATATTGATATCCCACGTAGCATTTATGCCATTATAAATATCTTAATATCTCAGCTCTGGAAGGGTCTAAAGCCTCCATTTTTGCACTCGGATCTAAGTCCCATGGCCCTCTATCAGAATCCGGAGTTTCAAGAAGATTGGAGAAACTTATTTTGTCGCACAAAAAAAAACAAAACAAAAAAAAAACGACAGTGGTAACACTGTCGTGTTTTTTTTTTGGGTCGAAATTTTGAGTTTCTCTGATCTTCTTGAAACTCCGGATTCTGATAGAGGGCCATGGGACTTAAACCTGAGTGCAAAAATGGAGGCTCTAGACCCTTCCAGAGCTGAGATATTGAGATCCCACGTAGCATTTATGCCATTATAAATATCGCAATATCTCAGCTCTGGAAGGGTCTAGAGCCTAAATTTTTGCACTCAGGTCTAAGTCCCATGGCCCTCTATCAGAATCCAGAGTTTCAAGAAGATTGGAGAAACTTGTTTATCGCACAAAAAAACAAAAAACGACAGGGGTAACACTTTGCACTCTATTGAGATCCCTAAGTCCCATGGCCCTCTGTCAGAATCCAGGGTTTCAAAAAGTTCAGACGAAATCAAAATTTCGACCCCCCCCCCCAAAAAAAAAAAAAACAAAAAAAAACGACAGTGTTACCCCTGTCGTTTTTTGTTTTTTTTTGTGCAAAAAAATTATTTTCTCCAATCTTCTTCAAACTCTGAATTATTATAGAGGGCTGTGAGACTTTGACCTGAGTGCAAAAATGGAGGATCTAGAACCTTCCAGAGCTGAGATATCGAAACTCAAAATTTCGACCAGAAAAAAAAACGACAGTGTTACCCCTTTCGGTTTTTTTTTTTCGGGAGAAAAATTAAGTTTCTCCAATCTTCTCAAAACTCTGGATTCTGATAGAGGGCCACTTGACTTTCACCTGAGTGCAAAAATGGAGGCTCTAGACCCTTCCAGAGCTGAGATATCAAAATTCAAAATTTCAACCTGAAAAAAAACCCGACAGTGTTACCGCTTTTGTTTTTTTTCATTTTTGGGTGAAAAATTAAGTTTCTCCAATCTTCTCAAAACTCTGGATTATGATAGAGGGCCACGAGACTTTGACCTGAGTGCAAAAATGGAGGCTCTAGACCCTTCCAGAGCTGAGATATCAAAATTCAAAATTTCGACCCGAAAAAAAAACGACAGTGTTACCCCTTTCGTTTTTTCATTTTCGGGCGAAAAATTAAGTTTCTCCAATCTTCTCAAAACTCTGGATTATGATAGAGGGCTGTGAGACTTTGACCTGAGTGCAAAAATGGAGGCTCTAGACCCTTCCAGAACTGAGATATCAAAGTTCAAAATTTCAACCCGAAAAAAAAAAGACAGTGTTTACCCCTTTCGTTTTTTTTTTCATTTCGGGCGAAAAATTAAGTTTCTCCAATCTTCTCAAAACTCTGGATTATGATAGGGGCCACGAGACTTTGACCTGAGTGCAAAAATGGAGGCTCTAGACCCTTCCAGAGCTGAGATATCAAAATTCAAAATTTCGACCCGAAAAAAAACGACAGTGTTACCCTTTCGTTTTTTTTCATTTTCGGGCGAAAAATTAAGTTTCTCCAATCTTCTCAAAACTCTGGATTATGATAGAGGGCACGAGACTTTGACCTGAGTGCAAAAATGGAGGCTCTAGACCCTTCCAGAGCTGAGATATCAAATTCAAAATTTCGACCCGAAAAAAAAACGACAGTGTTACCCCTTTCGTTTTTTTTCATTTTCGGGCAAAAATTAAGTTTCTCCAATCTTCTCTCAAAACCTGGATTATGATAGAGGGCCACGAGACGTTTGACCTGAGTGCAAAAAATGGAGAGCTCTAGACCCTTCCAGAGCTGAGATATCAAAATTCAAAATTTCGACCGAAAAAAAAACGACAGTGTTACCCCTTTCGTTTTTTTTCATTTCGGCGAAAAATTAAGTTTCTCCAATCTTCTCAAAACTCTGGATTATGATAGAGGGCCACGAGACTTTGACCTGAGTGCAAAAATGGAGGCTCTAGACCCTTCCAGAGCTGAGATATCAAAATTCAAAATTTCGACCCGAAAAAAAAAAACGACAGTGTTACCCCTTTCGTTTTTTTTTTGTTTTTGGGCGAAAAATTAAGTTTCTCCAATCTTCTCAAAACTCTGGATTATGATAGAGGGCCAAGAGACTTTGACCTGGGTTGCAAAAATGGAGGCTCTAGACCCTTCCAGGCTGAGATATCAAAATTCAAAATTTCGACCCGAAAAAAAAAACGACAGTGTTACCCCTTTCGTTTTTTTTTCATTTTCGGGCGAAAAATTAAGTTTTCTCCAATCTTCTCAAAACTCTGGATTATGATAGAGGGCTGTGAGACTTTGACCTGAGTGCA